AACTGTTGAATGACCGGTGGGGATTCCTGAAATCCTAGATCATCCGAAAGCGAAACTATAATTACTCTAGTAAATACTACCGTCTCTTCTAGACTGAGCACCTGCGAAGGGTGCAAGATGTGGAGCAGATCTTTATTTTGTTCAGAAACCACCACTACCTTAGCCAGTGTTGGGGAAAAACTCGGTGCTCAGTGAAATTCTGGATCAAGGTTCGACAAAACTCGGTGCGCAGTGAAATTCGGGGGCGGTAAAAACAGGATAGGAGGTAGTGGTGGTTTTAAAAGGGCTGCAATCAGACTCACTTTCTTCTTTGCTTCGCATATTACATGCAAACAGATGGCAACTCACACTGGCGCCAAGCGCCCACTCAAAGCACAGAGATATGGACGTCAAGAACACAGTCCAGATGTAAACTGACTTCCACAGGCTATGGCGCATCAGCGCCTGTACATCCCAACTCTCCTCACTGTGTCCAACGCCACTGTTCGCACATACTCAACTCTGGATCGCCCTGAATACCCCACACACATTCACTGTATCACACACTCGTACACACACACTAACTTCTAACACTAGCTATGGCGGCTATGGCCGCCAGCTACTACTACTATAGTACACTGACTCCTTCTAGCCCACTTCGACCTCGGGCATCTGCAGACCACCTCGCACAAGATGCTCGGGCAGCACTTCCGCATGGCTCACACAGGAATGAATGAATGGCTGGGCGCTGCCTCTTGATTTATACTTCTGTAAGTCGTTGGTCTGCCCTTTACCACCGGGCCCATGGTGCACACAGTCCCTCATGGTACTTGCTGACTGTGCAAAGTGAGACTGGGACTGGGGACCGCCGACTAAGCGAAGTTGGACTCACCACTTGCCCACTTGCCCACTTGCCTCTGACTAATCGTGGAACTCTTGAAAGGCCACTTCCGGACCTTCTGGAAGCTTGTGGACTTGGCCTTTCGGGACTGTAGCAGCTACGACCTTGACCTTTCAGGACTGTAGCAGCGACGACCTTGACCTTTCAGAAATGCTACAACTACGACCTCTACACAGCTATGACCCCTACTCAACAGACCTACAGATCGAATCCCTACAACTACACAGACCTACGACAGGCAACAGCCAACTACCAAAACGCAGGTCGCGGGTTCAAACACTCCGGGGTCAACTCAATACTGTACATGGTAAGGTAAGGTCTGGGGATCGAACTCGCATCTGTGACTGCAAAAAGGTGAAAACCGTTTCACTCCCGCCGGCCTAAATTCAAGGTCCTCCAAGAACACTTCAGTCTAAGACAAGACCTTTTGCTTTCTTATCTCCTTCGTATGCTCGGACTACTTCGGGAGTTGTCTCTAGAAGTTCTGTTCGTGTAAACCAGCGGTCGTCCTCTGGTTCCTGAAAAGTGAACCTGACCTTATATTGTTTCTGTGGACGACCCCTACCTCCTGTTCTGAAAACATCTTCACCCATGATGCCGTCAATGTCGTACTTCCCGTCCATGTCCGGAGGGATCATGGGTCTCCGTGATGGAAACTGTTGACTGGTGATGCAGGGCAACAACTTTGACGCATGAAATATTGGGTAGGTGTGGAGGTGTGCTGGGATTTCGATGGTGTAGGACGGTCCATCTTCTCCGCCCTTGACTTCTAAGACTGGTCACGGTCCTCGGTATGCAGGTAGTAACTTTTGTGAGATGTTCTCCTCAGGAGCAAACTCTTTAGATTTGACCCTGGCTGAGTCGCCTACTTGAAACTGTGAGGGGCGACGGTGCTTATTAGCTTGCTCTATCACTCTGTGCTGGGCCTTCCTGATGTTATCTACCACGGTAGCTATCTCTTTCTCATGTTGTATCGCAAACTCTCGTGTACCGAGTGGTAGCCTGTGAATCTGATCTCGGTTTAGTCCTTCAAATGGTCTGTGCGGTCTAAAGGACTTATGTAGTTCGTTGGGAGTGCGACATGTGGCTAAGTGCACGCTGTTATTGTATGCACTGACTACCTTTGGAAGCATCTCATCCCAGTTGATCTGGTCGTGCCTAATGTACATTCTAAGAACTTGTTGCAGGAGCTTGTTCATCTATTCAGTCTGACCGTTAGTCTCATGATGATGGCCAGATGACATCAATAACTTTAAACCATAAATTTTAATCACTTCCTGCCAGTTCTGACCGGTGAACTGGTGTCTCTGTCACTAACTATTGACAACGGTATACCATGTTCACTGACCCAATGGTCAAAGAACTTTTGAACTACTAAGTATGTTCGTGCCTCTGCAGGCAGAGGAACAAAAACTGCATACTTGCTAAACCTATCGACTATAACCATGACTTGGCTCTTGTCGTGCCTACTCTTGACACTTGTGTCCATAAAGTCAATGGACACGGAGTCTCCTGGTCTGTCGGGAATAGGCAAAGGTCCGAGAAGACCTAGAGGGGCATGCGTAGTAGTCTTATTTCTCTGACAAACTTTACAACTGCGTACATACTCTATGCAGTCGACCTTCATACCGGGCCATATATACGTGCGCATGAGGTTGGCTAGTGTCTTTTGCCAAACAAAGTGTCCCTCTGTGCCGTGGCATTCCCCTAAGATCAAACTACGGATCTCACTGTTAGGAACACACAGGCGGTCAACTACATTAGTCTTCTCGAATAGTAACCCATTAGTAGTGCGGTAGTCTGGTTCGAACTTTGGGGCCTCCTTAATTCTCTTGAGGAGGTCACTATAGATAGGATCCTGCGCATACGCTTCTCTAACTTTCTGTTGCAGGTCTCTCCCTATATCTAGATAGTGAACTATCGCTCCAAAGTAATCAGCTCTCCTACTTAAAGCGTCTGCAACTACATTGTACTTCCTTTTGACTGACTTAAGCTCAAAGTCATATTGATTTATCTTTGCAGCCCACCAAGTAAGCTTAGGTGTCATCTTGGCCAGTGTCTTCAACCACCTTAGAGTCTCGTGGTCTGAATAAACTTTGAAGTGTCTCCCAAGCGAGTAGTGCTTCCAGTGCTCTAGTGCTTGCCTGAGAGCATAGAGTTCCCTCTCATAGGTAGATGTCACTACCTTCTCTGAAGGTATCTTGGCAGACATGAACTTCACAGGCCTATACCCATTGCCATCATCTTGTTGTAAAACAACACCTATGTCGTACTGACTTACGTCAGTGGTGACAACAAAAGGTAAAGATGGATCAACTACCTTGAGGACTGGATACTCTATCAAGGCCCACTTTAACTTCTTCAGGGCCGATGTACAGTCTTTGTCCCACTTCCAGATTGCCTATTTCTTTAGCAACCTGCTAAGGGGAGCGGCGATACTGGAGAAGTTCCTTACAAACTTCCTGTAATAGTTGGCTAAGCCTAGGAACGACCATAACTCTATCAATGTGGGGGGCGTTGGCCAATCTCTAATCGCCGCTATTTTGCTGTTCTCGGGATGAATGCCATCTCCATCTAAAACGTGACCCAAGTATAAGACTTGTGTCTTGGCCCACTCGCACTTCTTGGCATTGATCTTGAAGTTAGTTTCTCTCAAGTTCTCTAAGACCTGTCTCAGATGACCCTCATGCTCCTGGAGAGTCCTACTAAAGACTAGAATATCATCTAAATACAATATAACGAATCTGTCTAACCAAGGTCTAAACAAGTCATTCATACATCGCTGGAACGTCGCTGGTGCATTGGTTAGTCCAAAGGGCATGACTATAAACTCGTAGTGCCCGTATCTCGCCCGGAACGCCGTCTTATGGTCATCAAGATGAAGCTCTATCTGATGATAGCCGGACTTCAAATCTATCTTTGAGAAATAGTTGCAGCCTTGCACCCGATCTAACAGATCATCTATACGGGGCAGCGGTTTTGCATTCTTCACTGTGATCGCATTAAAACCCCTATAGTCGATACACATTCTAAGCTCTCCCTCCTTCTTGGGGACAAAGAGAACAGGTGCTCCAAATGGAGACGAACTGGGCCTAATCCAACCCTTTTCAAGGAGCTCATCCAACTGCTTCCGTAGCTCCTCTAACTCCCTTGGGGACATTCTGTAGATGACCCCCTTAGGAGTCCTACTACTAGGCTCTATCTCTATACGATGTTGGATCGGCCGTGACACTACTCCTGTAGGCGGCTTAGCTACGTCTGTATGTTCCTCCAGCAGCTTGGCAATAGTTTTGTCCATGGACTTCTCTTCCTTAGGCTCAGTGACAGGCCTAATATAGGCTACGAAGACCTGTTCCTCTAGTTGCTCCTTCTTTACTAGTCGCGCGAACGTGGGAGTATTGAGACAACAATGTGCAAGGGGGTTGTCTACTCCTGACACATGAAACAGGCGAGCGATCTTGACTTCGCCTGACGGACTAGGGAGCCTAAACTCATTCTCTCTCAAATGCAGTGTGGCCCCTGCTGCCTCTCCCCAGTCCATTCCTAGGACTATGTCAAACGGGAGGTTATCTTCTACGAGGAGAGCCAGAGAATGGAGAACTCTCTCTACCTTCCCCTCTTTCTCTAGGCGAAAGTATGCCTGGACTCCCTCGACGTAATCCTCTACTCGCATAGTGCGATTGTCTGTGAGGATACTAACTATAGGGTCTTCTAGCTTTTGGACTTTCAAGCCCAACTTTAGCTTCTGCAGCGCCTTTCTACTAATATAGCTACGGGTAGCCCAATGTCTATAAGGGTCCCTACTCTTCCTCTGAAGACTTCTACATCTACTAATACAAGTTTTCCTTTACTCTCTTTCTTCATTTTGGCCCAGGCCGGCATCCTTTCCTTTAGCTCCTCTGCCAGGCCTGTGAGGGAAGTGCCTAGAGAGACTCTAACACAAGCAGTCTCTGGACAGCGGTCTAGGCACTGGCCAGCAACCTCTGTCGTAGGCTCATGTGGTTTGGAAGTTCCTCTGTGGTGCGCGCACTCTTCTCCACATGGTCTAGGGGTAAGGGCAGTTGCGACCCCTACCGGCGGTTGCCTTTTGCTGCCTGTGCAACATACCGGGTTTCTCTATACTTTGGGCATTATTTTATTATGTGCCCCGCGCACACCAAGTCTTCCCATGGCCTGCCTTGCGGCAAGCCTAGGTGCCATCCACCTCTCCTAGGAGGTTTAGTGGGGGACCTTGAACCCTACCTCCCTCTTGGCGGTTTCCTCTGCCGCCAACCACCTGAGCGCCTTGTCCTCGACCACCCGAGGCCCGACCCCCTTGGCCCTGGCCTCTTCCCTGCGGCCTCCCTTCGACCGCGACAGCAGCGTAAGTCCTCCCTTGACCCCCACTACTGTCCTCCTCCTCTAGGCCCCACTCAATCTGGCTATACGAGACCTCCTCCATGCCACCTTCATCTAAAGTGAGGATCAAGTGATCCTTGGCCCTAACTTGACCAAAGATGGTACAACCTTTCCACTTTTTACCTTTGTCGAAATCCTTATGCCAAAAAGTGGACACTGGCATGGACTGTGCCTCGAACAACACCACCTCTTTACTCAACGTATCGTAAGTCATGGTGGGTTGTCTACTCTTCTCGAAGAACTGCCCGTGCAGAGGCTCGGGCATGGCACAATAAAATAAATTGACCAACTGGGTCTCAGTGACTCCATGGTCTGGGACAACTACCAACTCGTTCATAACGCCCTTGAGTGCCCTAACACTCCTCCATTGGCGCGAGTGGATGGTTTGCAACTTGTCTGAGGCCCTTACACCTCGAGTGACATCTGCAAATTGTTCCCTAAGCAGTCTAAAAAATTAAGGAAGACGGGTAATCTTCGAATAAGCTACCATATTGTTTTCGCACTGTGCAGCGCGAGCGAGCGATCGGGCTAAGCTGGCTGCTTTGACTTTGAGGGCTTGGAAAGCAATGAGGACTTGTTCCTCTGTGACAATCTTCTGGAAATAGACGTATGTGTTCACATTCGCCTCCTAGTTATCAAAGTTTTCTTCCTTCTTCCCACTATAGGGTTCAGGAAACTTTATCTTTACGGACTCTCTACGGGGGCGTACTTCTTCCTCCTTCAAGGCGGCCAACTTTGCACCTTCAATGGCACCTATGTAGAATTTCTCTGTGCCCTCTACTCTCGCTTTCATTTCTGCTGCACCTACGTGCAGCATCATCTCGCATGCAAAGTCTCTAAAGCCTAGGCGAATGGAGTGTAGTGCTATATCTTGGGCTCTAGAAAACTGATGTTGCTCATCCTAGGCTCTAGCCAGGAGTTCGATGTTTCGTGTTGAATCTGCTCTCTCTGCTTCTTTATTACTTCCAACTCCTTCGCCATTCTGCTTGCCTCGTCCATCCTTCTTTTCTTCTCCCTTGTAACACGCAACTTCCACTGTAGCTTCTTCTCTTCCTCTATCGTCAGGCGTCTCAAGGGGTCTTCTTCTGCCTCCAACTCCTTTACAACCGCTTCTTGCTCCTCCCGGGGAACATACAACATCGCTTCTTCTTCTTCTCCCAAGGACAAGTTCACGACCCACTTAGAGACTTTCTTCTCTATCCATGAGTCTTCCTTCTTCGTGCCACTGGGTTACCCTTTTTTCCTGGTGCTTCTCCTGATCAGGGGCTCTTCCTTCTCCTTTTCCTCATTTATCTTCTCCTCTTCTACTGTCTTCAGCTTCTCTTCCTCCTCCTTCTTTAATCTCTCCATTTTCTCCTCCAACTTCTTCCTCTTCGTCGCCTGCTCCTCCATTAAGGCCAACTTCTTAGCCTGCCTAATCAACTCCTTAGCTTCCTTCTCTCTCTCTCTTGGAGTATGACGGCGGCTTGCTCTTCTTGAGCCTTGGTATAAGGGGTGGTACTCTTACCACTACGCAGGTCAACCATGGTGAAAGATGTACAACCGGGAATCAGTTCCACTCCTCACCACTTAGACTTTCACCCCCTGACTTACTTAACTTACTAACTGACTCTCTAAGGACCACAAAGCCTTACCCTTTGATCCAGCCAGGTTACCACGACCGACGGAAGCTTTCGCCAACACTGTCCTTTACAATCTAGACCCAGGTGCCCTGCACCTGCAGTCAATCCCACCTGGCTTTCACTCCGGTTCAGGACCCTGTCAACTAGGGTCTCTAGCCTAGACCTAATACTAAGCTGTCACTATAGGACTTCAGCGCTGATCAGGAGGCATTTAAGGACATCCCCCGTAACTCCTCAGGAATTCTTTAACGTCACAAACAGGACGACGCGATCAGCAAGTCCTCTCAAGACTTAGACAGCTCGTTGTGCAGCCCACAACTCGGATTTTGGGCCACCCATGCCACACAGTTCAGCCCGCCGGTCTGTACCAGTCCTTGGGAGGGTTTGTCAGTCGTCAGACATGGAATTAAGCCCTACTCAACCTGTGTGGGTTTGGTCAACGCAGCTCTACGACCTCATACACGGAGTCCTATCACCGGGACAGAAGAGACTCAATGTAGAAAGAAGATACAGACAGACGGAGACTCAATGTATTAAGAAGATACAGACAGACTCAGCAAGGACCATAGGGTGAGTGCACATCCATAGGGCGAGGGGATAGGCTGAGGGCTTGTCGAGAATATACTAACTCCAACTTGGTCAATTTCGTTGTCAACAGCACTGGTCAATACTTGGTCAACTCGCCGGTCAACGCCTTGGTCAACCCTAAACTCGGCTATGGCTGCCGACCCCTTTCTTCCTCACCACCCTTCTTTGTTCTCCTTCTCCCTCCTTCCTTCTTTCTCCTTCTGTCTCACTTCACCCCGGCTATGGCTTCCTTCACTTTCGGCGTCCCTCCTTCCTCTTCCTTAGCTATGACTTCTTCTTTCCCCTTCGTCTCTCCCTCCTCCTTCACTCGTCTTTCTTCTTTATCTTCGCTGTGTCCGAGCTCGGCAACTATGGCCGCCGCCTTCTTCCTTGGACCGCACAACAATCGTGTATCACTCCTCTCTCTCTCTCTCTCTCTCTCTCTCTCTCTCTCTCTCTCTCTCTCTCTCTTCGTCATTGCCTTCTGTGCAGGTTCGCGGCACCCTCCTTCAACGGCGCAGCTATGGCGGACCCTCCTCTTTCGTTGGCGCAGCTACAGCGATGGTGCCAGACTATCAACAACGGCGATGGCGCATGGAGTAACGGGAACCAGCTCCGATACCAATGCAATCAGACTCACTTTCTTCTTTGCTTCGCATACATGCAAACAGATGGCAACTCACACTGGCGCCGAGCGCCCACGCAAAGCACAGAGATATGGACGTCGAGAACACAGTCCAGATGTAAACTCACTTCCACAGGCTATGGCGAATCAGCACCTGTACATCCCAACTCTCGTCACTGTGTCCAACACCACTGTTCGCACATACTCAACTCTGGATCACCCTGAATGCCCCACACACATTCACTGTATCACACACTCGTACACACACACTAACTTCTAACACTAGCTATGGCGGCTATGGCTGCCAGCTACTACTACTATAGTACACTGACTCCTTCTAGCCCACTTCGACCTCGGGCGTCTGCAGACCACCTCGCACAAGACACTCGGGCAGCGCTTCCGCATGGCTCACGCAGGAATGAATGAATGGCTGGGCGCTGCYKCTTGATTTATACTTCTGTAAGTCGTTGGTCTGCCCTTTWCCACYGGGCCCATGGTGCACACAGTCCCTCATGGTACTTGCTGACTGTGCAAAGTGAGACTGGGACTGGGGACCGCCGACTAAGCGAAGTTGGACTCACCACTTGCCCACTTGCCTCCGACTAATCGCGGAAAAAGGCCACTTCCGGACCTTCCGGAAGCTTGTGGACTTGGCCTTTCGGGACTGTAGCAGCTACGACCTTGACCTTTCAGGACTGTAGCAGCCACGACCTTGACCTTTCAGAAATGCCACAGCTACGACCTCTAGACAGCTATGACCCCTACTCGACAGACCTACAGATTGAACCCCTACAACTACACAGACCTATGACAGGCAACAGCCAACTACCAAAACGCAGGTCGCGGGTTCAAACACTCAGGGGTCAACTCAATACTGTACATGGTAAGGTAAGGTCTGGGGATCGAACTCTAGGGCCCGCATCTGTGACTGCAAAAAGGTGAAAACCATTTCAGGGCGACGGCCTTGAGATATCATCATTGAAGTTGGTTGAACCGATTGGGCCCCAGGTGATTCAGAATGATGTTATTCTGGTCATCTGATAGTATCTGGATTCCAACTTGGGTCTGTATTTTAACAGTTCGTTGGTGTACCAACTGAGCTAGGCCCGTCGGTAGTACAAGATGTGCACATCTTTTTTTTTTTTTCTAACGCCCCCTGCTGGTGCTAGTTGTGCTGGTAAAAGCAGACACCACTAGCACCTGGGGAGAGGCTGCATCCATTGGTGGGGAGCATCACCTGCTGGAAAACGGGTCCAGCGGCCCATGTACAGAATGAATCAGGAGGATATCAGGGAATATGTCTGAGAAAACACTGCCAGCATTGATTACTCTGGCGTCCAGTGGATTAAAGACCCTGCAACCGAGAGTTAGTGGCCACTGGCCAGCATTGATTATTCTCACTTCCAGGGTCTTTTTTAACCTCAGTAGTTTTCTGTCCCATGTAGTTTTCTGACATTACAAATTTACTGTGTGAATTCAAGGCATCTTCCTCCTTGCCGAAGTGAGAGTTAGTGGCCAAAGAGGATCTGAGGATGTACATGGTTCGGTCTCCAAAAATTTTCTGGATGCAATTTTTAGTTCTATTCATGTCTTCGTCTCTTACTCCATCATCTCTTTTCTTCTCATTTTTTCATCTTTGCATCGCTGTAGTACATGCAGAGTACCAGGAAAAACAAACCAACGTGTACCTTTACCTAGCTCATGGCGTAGGCTTGATGGAGCCTCGGGGAAAGGCTTGCTCCGGTGTTGGCGCGACAGCAAAGGTGTACTAGCCCCTCATCATCTTGTTGTGGCAGGGGGCAGGTGTGCCGATGGGGACACAAGTTATCAGTGCAAGTGTTGAGGCTTGTGGCGAGCCACGGCATCTCTCCTATCCCCCCCAATCACCTCAGACGAGAGGGAAACAGAACGAGAACGCCAAACAGAGAGAGAAATAGCGTGGAAAGGGTGGCAGAGAGTGATAAAAAATGAGAGAGAAAGAGTTTAAAGAGACAGAAAGGGAATTTCAAAGAGAAAAAAAAAGAAAGAGAATGAGAAAAAGAAGAAGACAGAGAAAGGAGAAAGGGAAACTGATGAGGCACATGCATGACCAAGTTACAGACTTGAATGCATTTCAAACTTCAAAGGGAATACACTGTCAAAACTACTGTCATGAACCCAGTCTGGAAGATGCTCACCAGATGTCGAAATACAAAAAATCTCAGTTCTGAATAATGTCTCCGAATAATCGTGAATGTGATCTGTGATACAATGTCTGGTAACCAATAGACGAAGAGAGGGAGAGGGAGAATAGACAGATTAGAGGGTGGAAAAGGTATCCATAAATGACCACAGAGATAGCAGCCCACAATGCCCTCTACTTCTCCGGGCTTCCCTCTCTCCTCATGTCAACAACAGTGTCCAATAACGAGCCTGACAGGTCAGATC